ATGGAGCTGAATGATTAAATGAAGTTTAAAAATTTGTTGGACAGAAATCTCTTTTTGTTGTTTAAAAAAGTTAGTACTTCGGTTTTTTTTGATTTTTATATATTGCTAATTTTGCTTATTTTGATTATTCTCATATAGATATTTTCCACATTGCTGCATAAATAAAATAATAATTTTTTAACACGAATAACGGGTAACAAAATGAATAAAAATGAAAATTTTATATAGTAAAAACTTTTTCGGTAAATAAAACTAATTTACTGCTAACGCCAAAAATTTTTATTTAATTTATTAATTACAGAAATTTTAATTAAAATAAATTTTATTACTTGAAAAGTTTCTCTTATCTTAGTATTCACACAATACATAATAAGCTATGGAATGAACATCCCAGATGGAATGAACATCCCAAAAAAATGAAACATTCTGAACAAAATTTTTAGTTTTGGTTTCTATTATAAAAGTTTATTTTTATAAAATTACTTTTCTAAACGAAATTAAATTAAATTTTATCCTTTTAAAAATTTTTTAATAAAAATCACATAGTAATTGCTGCTTCTTGTCATATCATTATCTTCTTGTCTCGATTATACGAACCGTTTTTCTTCCTTCTCTGTAAATATACAAACAAAAAACCAATTACATTTCATCAAATGGAGTTGGTTTTTATTATAATCCATTATTTTTCAAAAATATTTTTTCATTTCATCGCTAGATCAAAAAGTACATAATCATTTTCCTAATTTATTATTCCTAAATATTTTGATTGCAATAATTTTTAATATTCCATAAATAATTGATTCTTATAATAAATAAAATTTTTAAGTTTATTACAGAAATTTATCTAAACCTTGCAGCATTCTCGCAATGTTAATACATAATTATTTTAGAATCTTTACAACATTGCTTTGAATATTTTAATTATATTTATTAAAATATATGAAAGTTCTTTTGCGTTTAAATTCATGTTAATTTTTGTTTTACGCAAATTTTAAATAAATGTTTAAAAATATATACAAAAAATTTATTATAGAATTTTATTATTTTTATTATGTATGAACTTCCCTAAGAATATAGATTTAAATATTAAAGTAAGCTACCCACATCTTTTCACACGCTTGCATTTTATCTTTTTAATAATATTTTGAATAATATTGAATGCAAAGTATATGAAAGCAAATTCCTTTTCTATAAATATTAATGGAAAGTATTTAGTTTTCTTTGCTTGAATGAAAAAAATTTAAATTTATATTAAAATCAGTTGAACTTAAACACTTAAACTAATTATTTCATTAATCGACATCTGACTCTTAAATTCAATATTTATGTTATTGTTAAGTTTATTAATATTTATATTAATTTCTCCAAAATTTTTTTATGCTTAAATAAGATAATATGAGGTTTATAAATTAATTTGGTTATAAATAAACTTTTAATGTAGGCATCAAATTATTTAATATTAATCGAATAAAAATTAAATAAAATATTTCAATTTTTTTTTACTTTAATTGAAAATAGATAAATTGATGATAATTTATTTTAATATATCGAAATGTTTATAAATTTATAAACTATTTTTAATTCTTATTTTTTATAGTATTAATAAATAAAATTTTTTAGTTTAATTGATGATAGATTTAAATTTTAAACAAAATATTTTTGGAATATTTTTAGAAACTAATTCTTATTTTAAATGGGTGGAGATAATATTGTAAGGAGCACCATATAATATCCAAGACCTTTTTAAAAGAAACAATTGTACAAATGAGATAAACAGAATGCAATTATCAGACTTAAAAATCGGCAAAGGAGTCATTGGTGTTCATTAGAAGGTAAAATAACTTTGTGATAAAAATGATGAATCGTAAAAATTAACAATCGATGTGAGTTTGTTGTTGTTTACGAAATAACGTGATTATTATCCAACATTAAACTCAATACCTCACTTTCAATAACTTTATCTTTGACATCATTTTTCAAATCTAGTATTTTAATTTATTTTAAATAAAATCATTAATTATTTAGTTCGTGCCATTTCATCATAATTGTAGAATCACAAAAATATCCTTACTTCCATATTTAGGTCTATATAGTTTTACAGAGATCAAAGGATCTCCTTCTGTGCCTTTCTGTACAAATGAACAAATAAAATAGCATGTGAAAAATATGAGGTGATATTTTAAATATGAATCTTTAAACAATATTTTTTAATTTATCTTTATACAATATATACTTTCCGTACTTTTTAAAGTTTGTTGCAGATTTTTAAAAAATTTTAAATTCTTCGTTTTTGCTGTTATCGCATTGGTTCTTACAATATTTTTGCCATTATTTAAAGATAAGATTATTTAAAGCTTGCCATTATTTAATATATATCAGTAAATGTTAATTATCAAATTACTTTAATATTAAACAATTAGAATTTAGTAAAAATCATATAACAACGCCGAATTAATATATTATTTACATTGGTTTATGAGGATTACTAATTACAGGTTGTCACTTGTGGCAACCTTTATCATAAAAAATGAAAATTTAGTTGATGAAAGTAAAGCTAAGGGAAAATGGAAAGAAATGGATCTCTTTAAATCTTTTGATCCCTTTATTTATTTTAATTTTTTAATGTAATTTTTTATATTATTAGTATATTTTTTAATATTCTCTGATATTTTATTAAAAAAATTTTTCCTAATTTCTAAAATAAAAAGAAACATATTTTCAGTTGCAAAATTTTTCTTTAACGACACAACAAGTTGTAGTAAAAAATATAAAAATATACAACTTTAAAGACAAAAATTTTTACAAAAAGTTTTTTCTATGTTGCGTTTCAAATGCAAAAAAAAGTTGAATATAGGTACCTATATTTATGGAATAATCTTTTTAATTTTTGTTTTCACATAAAGATGAGAAAACAAATTTGTTTTATTCTTGCAATATGTGTTTTTAAAAATTTTTAGGTTTTTGTTTAGTATTAATATATATAATATACTATTGTTTTAATAAATATATATAATTTAATATTTTAATTTTAATTATAGCTGATAAATATTTTATTTTAAAAGTTGCAATATATATTTAATTTAATAGATAAATTAAGATTATTTGTTATGTAAGAGTTTATATTATCAATGTATTTAAACATTTACATCATATAATTCTGTAACCATTTACACTGTTTGTTTTCAGAGTTATTGTTTTTTCTATTTATAATATTTTATTTAACATTACAATTTTCCATTATTTTCAGTTACTTTTTAATGTAAAGTTTTAGTTTTTTCAAGATCTGTTTTGAATTTCAAGCTTAAAACATTACATGACTTTTATGACGATAAATGAATATATATTAATTGAAAACTTATAAAATGGTGTTTTTTCGGTGGATCTATGGTCTGAGTTATTGTTACGATAAATAGCAATTTTTATATATTTATTTCTCATATCCTTTCTATATTTTCCATTACTATTTCGACATTTTACATAGAATAAATATGATATTGCATTATAACTTATCAAACATTATTATTTTATATCATAAATATATCAATAGTAAATCAATATATTCATCAGCTACAAAATATTCCTTCATACATTTGTTTATAAATTCATTTTATTATCACCCTAAAGATTTTTATATTATATGTAGTAGAATATATTTATATTTTACTTTATAAAGGTTAGTCAAATCTTTGATATTTAATACAATCCTGGTCTTTTCTTCATTAAACATTATCCATTTATTAACTTTAGATGTTCTATTATTCTGCCTGTTAACTGATACATAATGGCCCTCTTTAAGACTCCAATGTGCATATATTAATAAATTTTAACTGGTTAAGCAATATTTCATCAAAATTTAAGAAAAAATTTTCTTTAATATAATTATTTAAAATCATACCACCATAGCATATAAAGTATAATCTGTATGTAAAATATTGTATTTCTCGTGGATGTATTAATTTACATACTGATATTCTACCAGATTTACATTTCATTTATCTTTAACTTAGCACTTAAATTTAAAAGGTTTTTTTAATTTGTCGTCAAAAATACTAGTGCAAATTAGGCAACAGTAGTTGAGAGCAGGCTCAAAATATCCCTCCGATTTTTACTAATTTTTATAATATGTTAAGTTTTTTGTATAACGTATTGTTTTTTGTTCCCTTCTCTTTCCCACTTCCCTTCTCTTCCCACTTCCCATTCCCTTCTCTTTCCCACTAGAAAATAAAAACAATTCTTCATCCTATCAGGAGGAAATTTTTTAATAATTAAATTTTTTACAATATACACAATTAGTATTTTTCCAATAAATCCAATCTATGTCACTTTCCCAGTAAAACAAAAAAAACATTAGCGTTATAAAAAACACTAATGCTATGTCTTCGCCAAACCTATCTAAGAGAGTATTTTTCTTTACATTATTTTACACCCTTTATTTCCCACTCTAACATTGGCGTTGTAATCTAACATTGGCGTTGTAAAAACACCAATGTTTTGTTTTCTCCAACCATATTTTTTTCCTTTGCCTTATTTCCGCTGATTTTCTTCTAGTATTCGATATATTAATTTTGCTTCTCTTCTCCTTTAAAAATTCAACCAAATATTTATCCTATTAGGATAAATAATTGATTAAAATTTAATTTATAATAAATAGAGTGTCCCATACCTTAATTTTCAAAAATAATTTCAAAATTCCTTTACTATATCCTGCACTCCAATATTGGCGTTGAAAAACACAATGGACCGGTAACTTTCCCTTTGTTCCAATTTCTCTCTGGTGTTGGTCCCCTCCCATTAAACCAAATTATTTATTTTTCTGCCAACTCCTCTCTTCTCCCCTGAAAACACTAATTCATCCTATTAGGATGGACTTTTTACACACTCCTCTTATTTCTTTCATCTCCCCTTATTTCTAAATGTTAAAATTGAATTAATATTTTTAAATAAATTCCTTTTATAATGTCCCACTTTTTTCAAATCCAAACCTTCCAGTATTGGCGTTAAACAAACACACCAATGCTTTCTCCTCCTTTGCCTTATTAGTCAGACAAAAAGAAAAATTAAATGCCGACCTTCCCCACTCAATCAATTTCTCCTTTTACCTGTATTTCCCATTCCCTTTCCCAAAATTTTCTCCCTTTCGGATATAGCTCACCTCCCATTCGACCAAATTTCACTTTATCAGTATTCCCCGTTTTCGCCCGATGATTTGACTTCTCTTTCACGACCAGTTCTTTCATTTTCCCACTTCACTTTCGATTTGATAAATTTTTAACTCTTATTCCTAACTCTTTCCCATCAAAAAAAATAAAAACACATCTTCATCCTACATATTAGGATGAATTATTTTATTAATATCCATGCTTTAATTTCCAACAATATTTGTTCCCTAACCCCTTCAGAATATCATAAATTACAAAATTCCATTTAATGATCTCTTAAACATTGGCGTCACAAGGACACCAATGTCTTTGTCTAAACGAAATATTTAATCATTCTCCTTTCCTTTTCCACTTGCATCTAATTTATTACATATTTTCATTCCCATTATTCCCATTCCTACTACATTATCCCCATTCCTATCCCCATTCCAACCATTTCCACTCATTCTACAATAGACAACTTCATCAAATTAATAATTCATCTTCAATTAAAATTCTTAATTTTATGAAGTTTATTTCCTTGACTCATCTCCCAGTATCTGCATTCACCTTTCCACTCAACAAATAAATCAACACCATCCACTAGAAAATATAAGGTTTTATTTTTCTATTACCTTCTTTCCTATCCTCAAAATTTGAACTTTCATTAATGGAGGATCAGACTTCCATCTTTGAGATTCCAAAATAAGAATACCACTAATAATTAAAGACTAAAAATTTGTATCCCGCAACAGCCTTTACAAAATATAATATTGGCGTCGAAAGACACCAATATTTATCTCTATTAATCTACCACTATCCTGCATAACTGGAATTTCCTTCCCCCTTTTCATCAGGTACATATTTTTAATCTAATTTTTATAAAAACTTTTCCCTACCCATTTATTCTTATCCCTCCTAATAATAAAAATAACTCCCTCACAAAATTTAAATTTTAAAATTTCTTTAATTTTAAATTTCTCAAATTTTAAAAATTTTTACACATTATAAGTGTTGAATTTTCATTAACGGAGGATTCGAACCGCCATTTTTGAAATTTTTAACAAAACATACTCCCTAATACATATAATTTGAACAAAATTTTTCTTCCAACATCCTATCAAATCCCACCAAAAAATCAACACTAATCACTACTTCTCTTTCATTAAATATTCAATGAAAGTGAATCGGAAGTCTCCAAAATTTTTCCAATTTAATACATTTTTACTTCAACAAAAGGGAATGATACTGGTTGTCCATTTAACATTAACAAAGTCCATTTAATATAAGGTCGCATCCATTAAAAATGTCCATTTTACAAAAGCCTGAGAAGCTCTTTTCTTTATTAATAATCCTTAGCGGTCCTATAGATAAAATAATCCAATATATCCTTTAAATAAACTACAATCCTTCCTATGACGCGCTAACTATGATAATCTGTCCGTTTACATTAACAATTCCTAGTAACTACATTCTCAGGCACAATCTTTACAGCGACACTAATCCTAAAAATTATTTCAGAAAAATATACAATTAAAGATCAGAATCTTTCCTTTTTTCTTTAATTCGAAAAATTCAAACACCACAATTAATTTTCAAATGAAACACATCGTTAGTATTAATCCTTATTAATATTAATTGATAATTATCCCCGAATATTGTAATTCCCTAACTTATTTTAGTTCACTCTCCCCTTGAAATTCCAACAAATCCCTTTATCCCAACCTCTTTTTACAATTAATAATCCATCCTAAATTAAACAGATTTGGCTGACGTTAAAGAAATTAACATCAGAATGGAATCCTTAATTCTTATTTCCCTACAATTGCAAATAATACCTTTTATCCTTCTCCAATCCATCTATTTCACTTCCAAAACTAAATTCCAAAATTTCTCTTAAAAATCCATAATTCCATTAAAATATTCCATTAAATTAATTTTGAAATTAATCTAATTACGGGCTTATCCCAACCCTAAACCTCCCTGTTATCCCAAACCTAGGCCTACCTTTCGAAATTCGTCTATCCTAAAACATCCACCTACTATCAAATCCATATAAACCATTCAATAAGTAATTTTTGCTTTATAAAATGGCACGCCAGTTTTCCAATATCCTAACTACAAATAAAAGTCAAAAACCAGACCATCCCTAAACCCATATTTCCGCATAACCTTCAAACTCCATCAAATTCTGACATCTCTACCTCCTAACAAATCCAATTATGCCATTAGAAAGATAAGATAATTCTCTATCTAAATGGTGTTTAGTAAAGCCCGAACCCCTGTTAATCAAAAAAATCTCCCAGCCTACCATCAAATACATAAAACATTAATTCACTCAATAATTTCCAAATATTAGTGAAAAGTCATAAAATAAATCCTATTAAAAATCAATCAATCCCATCTATACAATAAATCAATGGAGATCTTGGTAAACAATAATAATCACCAATACGAATTATCTAAAGGATTAACCTTGAGATAATGAGTTTCCAATTTCCAATCACATTTTCCAATGAGTTTCCAATTTCCAATCACATTTTCCAATGAGTTTCCAATTTTTCACTTCAAAAACCTCCTCTTATTATTCCAAAAAAACTCACGAAATCCGACAAAATTCTATTAGTCGACTAAATATTATTCAACTAAATCAATTCTTACTTCATTAACTACGACTTCAACATTAACTACACTTATTGAGTTCGCGCATTACTCGGATTAACTCAACTTGTTGGAGAATGTCAAATGGATGAACTTTCGATGAACAGAACATGCGAAGTGCAATAGTTGATCGAGAAGTCCAATCAAAGAAAGAAAATATGAAATAAAACCAGTCAAAATTTTATGATTTTATTCAAATATTTCAAATTTTATCGTTCTATCAAATCTTTTGTATATTATCAGTTCAGATCCACTCACTTCTACCAATATTCAAAAGTATCGAGTCTTCAAACCATGGGGGAAATAAAACAGTTTTAGAAAACTTTAAAAATTCCCACCCATTAAACATCAAACGGTGCTGAAATAAGTAAGACACCATTTGATCTCCCCCAAATAAACAGCCACCTAAAAATCCCTTCTATTAACGGCGAATTAAACTCACCATTAAATACCAAATCCCCCATTCCTCAAAAAATTAAAACAATACGTAAGCGCAGGGTCGCGCTTATTGGCGGCAGGGAATGTTACCCCCAAGACTCGAGACTCGATACTTGCCCTTTTCATCAAGTCCCGACCCCGACCATATTTCCCATAATTGTTTATGTTTATTTTATAATTATTCTTTCCCAGCTTATCCTTTCTCTAAATCTATATTTTGTACACTTATTTTTCACCTTCTTCCGTTCCCAACATTAATCACAATTACATATATCCTTTTGTCAACAACTTTATACACTTCTTCCCATCTTTCCCAGACACATTGTCCGATCAACTTTGTCATATCCCACCCACTTTCCCTTCTATTTAACCACTTAATTATATCCTCATCTTCAGTTCAATTCAGTTTTATCCAATGTTAATGTCCATGAAATATATTCCCCTTTAATTATTATTCTGATCCATTACTAAAACACTACCATTTAAAATATATTTTAAATGAAATAAATATTTATAATCTAGTCTTTTATTATTCACTTAGGTCCTCTGCGCCTCCCCCTATCCCAAAATTCCCCCAATCACATACGGCGCTCTGAAGGTGCCTGGACCGGGAAGGTCCAGCGCATAACTTTGTTGATACCGGTTTTAAAATTAGAATTTCATTGTAATATTTTTAATAAAAGTAAATAAAATCAGCGACCTTCCATTAACATCTATTTGTTTCATCATAACAATTATTTTGTTAATTACCCACTTCAGAATAATTAGATACGAAAAAGTTAGAAATATAAATCCTCTAAATGAAAATTATAATGAACAAAATCCTCTTTCTTTTCTAATATCGAACTAATTAATTAATTTAAATAATGTAAATTGCATATATTTTTGTAATTAAAAATTTTAATTTATTAATCCTATACAACTTTTATTATATTTAAAGACATAAAAACAATATATTTTCCCGTCGAAATGCCACACAAACTTTTACAAAAAGGAAACAATAAAATATTTAACGTCCGAAAATTTTACCACACACATTTTGACTAGAAAGAAAAATGTCGGACATGCTTTTCTCAGGAGAATGGGGAATTAGTAAATATTGATTTCGACCTCCATTGGAATTAAACAATAATCGAAAGATATTCTTCAAATAATATTTTTGATTCGAATTAGTTAAAACTTAATCTATCAGTATATTTCAATTTAAAAATTTATACAAAAAATAGATAAAACTCAATAATAATTTGAAAAAAACGTACACTTACTCATCCATAACTCACAGTTTATATTTTAGTAGCAAATGGCACTGTATAAAATATTTTGAAAGCTGGGAATGATCACTTAATAAAATTATTGATTTTTATTTAAATAAAAAACGAGATATAATAATATTATTTAGTAAAGAAGATATTAATGTAATAGAAAGTTTGAAATCATGCTTTTACATTAATAAATTCGTTAAAAATTAACAATTAAAAATTATTGTATGATTATTTATAAATTAAAGAAACATTAATAAACAAAAATTAAAAAATAACAAAAATTTATTTTACAAATTTAAACATTTTCAATAATGTTTAACTTAAAATATACCGCTGAATGCTTTATAGCTTCTAGAAACATAAAATATTAAATATGTATAAAGTTTATTATAAATAATTATAATGATATAATTGAAATAATTGAAATAATAGCATACTAAAAATTTAAATAAAATAGATCCAAGGCAAATAAAATCATATTTGTAATAAAATATTAAAGTTGAAGGTCATTATTGGAAAGCTAGCAAAATTTACAATAGTTAAAAATTATTATAATAAAAGTTGATTTAAAATCTTATTTAGTTGCTAAATGTTGATATAAATTAATTTGTTCAGCAATAATTTTAGCTCAATGTTAAATTGGTTAAAATCGAATATTCTATAAATTGTTTCAGAATTAATCTTTAAATTATTTGATAATTAAACAATGAGCGGAAAAACTGCCAAATGTAATAAATGACATCGGTCCATTAAGATGTGAATATCTATATCGAGAAAAATAATACAAGATAATAAAAATGTTAGTTAATTACACTAATAAAACAAAATTGAGACAATTTAGCTTTTATGATATCTCATTAAATATTAATTAAAATATTGTAGTTAATATTGACTTGAATTTTCGTAAATTTGTTTTAATATTAAACTAATTCTGAAGAACTTTGCTCAAGAGTGAGTAAGAAAATTAATCTATTTAATGAATGATGGAAGAATTTTGGAGCTAAGATCGTTCACATCTTCCAACCGTATTATAATAGCAAAATAACCATAAACTTGAAATAAAATTTAAAACTAAAAAATTAATAATACAACCGAAACAATTTTTTTATTATTTAAAATATTTTGATCGATATTATGAAATATATACA